AAAGCTGATCCGCACCCCTTGCAGTTCAAAGACTCACAATTTCGAACACTCGTCGCCTTCGATATCTCCGCGTGCGGACAGAGAATCAATCGGCTTGACCATTGCCTTCGCGCATGCGCAATGAACTGGCCGACAGCATCCTATCGACACCTGGAGTTCAATGTTTCCACTATTGTGGCTTATTTTAATTGACCGTGCCAAGGAGTCAAATATGCATGTCGAAGCAGATCATCTCGGACGGCCACAGGGGGGTGTCAACCACGCAAGCTTCTTCCTAAAATGACCGCCTCGGTATGATGGAGAGAGCAATGATGATTAACGCGTCTTGACTCTACGTCAACCTTTCTCGAAACTAAGAGCCGTCGATGGCTTGCACTTCCGCCGGGTGGCGCTTCCCTGACAACGCTGACGAAGCCACCATGCAAGGGGCATCCCCAATCGCTTGCTACCGCTAGATGCGATTTCATCATTGGCAATAGACAACTGCATAGACTTTCAATGCTGCATCAGAACATTTGCTTTTCTGCCGCTCTCATTACGTATACCGAAAATCATAGTCGGCCAACGCCCTTGATGGGTGCTTTACAGTTCTCAAGGATGATCGGCACGGAATTCAGTGGGTATACCTATAACCAAGCTTACGTTGACTGAACCAAATGGATGCAAAGCCCTTGGGGAACTATTTATTCTGATGCCGACCTCTGTGTGTATCGGCGTAGCAGAGAGCCGAATAAAAAATCTTAGCAACACTAGCAACAATGGGCCCCGCGTATGTGGAACTACATACAACCTCGTTACCCTTACCTTCGTCAGACTGACTTCCAGACTCAAGTCTTAACACGGCTCCCATCTCCTGGCAAGAAATCAAAGACATTGCGCCTATCGCTCGCCAAGGAGCGGCAGAAGTAAGAGTCGCCCTCAATTTAGTAGGACAGGAAAATTGACCGCGACAAGCAACTATTGCATATCTGGACGAGGCAAAAATATCGTATTGACCCCGAGGCCCTCTGGGGAGATGAAGTAAGTTATTCGCCCTTCATCAATGGTGTGATTATTTACTTACTGGTTAGATCGAGTACACTTTGATCAATGTTGATGCAAAAGCATCCAAGGCCACGCTGCTTTTGAGCCAGGAGAATGTTCTGCGCCAATATGAGAAGCGTTGCGCAAAAGAGAACGAGTAAGACCATGAGACACGCCCCCTTCCAAAAGAACGACAAAAATGACTTTTTCACTGGTGGTACTCAGCAAATCCTGGAATGCAGTCTCTTTTCAGCCAGAATGGGGTCGGTACATGATTGAGGCCACTCCCGCGAAGCCATACGGAGGAGAGATTACCGCACTACTGAAGGTGGAAAACAATATGCGGCTACGGCAAGTCATATTCTACGCCTACGTTATCAGGCTCTAATTTGATCGTCTGAGTCTAGGCGAGATCTGATTCGACAGTGTCTACTACCGAATCAACATCCTGTGACTCTTAGTGTCTTGCCTGGTCTGGGTACACGGGGGCTATTCACAGCCTCAGAGCCAGACGAAAGATTCTCAGGAAATGCTCCAGATGGCCGAGTCTACCATCCAAGTACGCGCTACATCATGGCGACAGAGAACCTGGCTACCCGGCGACAAGGACGATTCGAATGCCACATTCCGGTCTTTCGAGACAAATTGACCGAGCAACCGTTCTACGACGAGAACGTGTCGTACGAGTATGCATCGCAGCAGTTGCCACCAGCAGACCCTAAGGAAGGGTACATATATCTCGATTGCCCCGAACTTGGGATGGGATGTTGTTGCATTCAAGTCACAATGCAAACGCCAAATGAGCCTGAAGCTCGATGGCTACACGATCAGCTCATGGTTTTGGGGCCGCTTATGTTGGCATTGACCGCTGCAACACCTATCTACAAAGGCTATTTGGTAGACACAGATACGCGCTGGGGATACATCTCTGCTTCCTTGGATGACCGCACAACAGAGGAGCTGGCCACAATTGTAAGTGAGATTCCTACCATATGCCCATAGAGTTACTCACCGCGGCAGCCACCTCGTTATTCCTGGAATCGTACATATATCTCATCAGAGAAGCCACTAGATGTGGAAAGCAAGACATCCTCGCAACCGATCGACGAAAGACTCAAGCAGAGTCTGCTAGCTGGCGGGATGGATGAGCCTCTGGCTCATCACTTCGCAACCGTTCTTTCTCGTGATCCTATTATTGTGAGTCGGGAAGATATCGAACAATTCGACGCCAGCGATACGGGTCTCTTCGATATGCTCTACAATAGTGTATGGCAACATGTCCGGCTCAAACCCCCATTGTGCAACTCCGGACCCGGCTGGCGAGTTGAATTTCGGCCCATGGAGGTTCAACTGACAGACCATGACAATGCTGCATTTTCCATATTCATATACCTTCTCTCGCGCGCCATCACCGCCTTCCACCTGAACCTCTACATCCCCATCGACAAATTGAGCGACTCTATGGAGCGAGCCCAGAAGCGCAATGCTGCGCTTGATCAGAAAATCTGGTTTCGTCGTACGGGTTGGTCTGCAGCAAAGCAACAGCCACATACGTGTGAAACATGCACGTCTAACTGCTGCATGAGACAGAAGATAGACACGTTGAGAGACTCGGAAGAGGCTGGCTATGAATCCTCAGCGCAGTACGCTCTGTTATCCATGGATGAAATCGTCAACGGCGAGAACTCGGAGGTTCCATCGGGGTTTCCTGGCTTGATCAACATCGTATGGGCATACCTGCAGTACATGGACACCCCACTGCGAGAGAGAAAGCGACTGAAGCCGTATCTGGATGTGATAAGTAAACGAGCTAGTGGAGAGCTCCCTACCCCGGCGCAGTGGATGAGGTCGGTTGTTATGGCACATCCCGAGTACCGGAGAGATAGTCGGGTTGGGGACAAGATTCGGTTTGATTTACTGCAAGAGATCATAAGCATGGGCGAGTGACTTGTAATTTAGCATGTACTGGAATAGATAACTATGTTAGTTGATTTGTGATCGTAAGTGCACCGGGTTCGGATCTGTTGAGACTTAAACTATCCTTATGCCAGAATTCCTATTCTTGTCACATCTGTAAGAGGTTGTGTGAACCAGGACATTAAGTCCACTGGCCTTTTTTGATGTAAACAAAAAGTAATATGATATTTTATGTTTTAGGAACCATCTTGCTCTTTGAATACCATAGATCAAGTCAACCATGTAGTTAAAGTGGCCCTAGAGATAACCCGTTACTATAGGGACAGTGTTTCGAACCGCCTCGAAGTGAGATGAGGCCGATCTCGCATTTGAGAACAAGTGAATAACACCAGGCACACAAATCTCACTTCGCGTGCCAACAACCGTTTTCTTTATTGCGAGTCGGTGTTAGTCTTTCCTCTGTTACCCTTCTCTGATCACCGGTTTTTACCCTCATTCTCATCTACCTCCCTCGTTCCATCAACCCTAAGCATCATATTGAACCTGTCACGTCGCGTCGCACCGGCTCAAGCTTGATATCACGATCAAGATGCCTCCGATAACAGTCAGCCAGGAAGAGCAGCCCCATGATGAATTCCTCCAAGAACGCTTTGGGAAGTTGTTCGACATCAGCAACGAGGCGCTGGTCGAGCTTGCCCTCAGCGTCCGCAGCAAATACATCACCAACACTCAAGCCACCGCGAAAGTCCTCGAGCACTGGATCGGCACCTACAACCTCATCCACGTCATCGGATTCAGCGACGGACTGAAGTACGTGATCCGCGTGCCTGCAAGCGCCCGCCACGGGCAGATGTCGGAGGCTGCGCAGCGAGCCCTGGTCAGCCAGGCGCGGATGATGCGATTCATCAAGAAACGAACCATGATCCCGATGCCAGACGTGTTCGACTTCGACGCGGGATTCGCCAACCCGCTCAAGACGCCCTACATCGTGCTCAGCTACATCCCCGGCCGCATGGTGGCGGAGGCCTGGTTCGACCGGTCCGGCCCCGTGCAACTCGAGGAGAAACGGCTGCGGATCCTGGACAGTGTGGCCGAGGCGATGGCGCAGCTGCGCGGGTTCCAGTTCGAGCAGATCGGGTCAATCGACGTGGCGGAAGAGCGGCTGGGCCAGCTCAACGCGATGGCGCCCTGCTACGGGTGGGAGGAGAACTACCAGGACGACGGCGGCCACGTCTTCCACGTCCAGCAGTGCGGGCCCTTCTCCTCCTCGACCGCGTACCTGCGCCACCGGCTGCAGCGCGTCACCCAGTGGACGGAGACCCCCAGCGACCGCGGCTGCCGCGTGCTGCTCGACCTGATGATCGACTGCCTGCCGCGCTCGACCCGCCGCCGCAGCGACTCCCACGAGTCCTTCGTGCTCAGCGTCCCCGACCTCAGCGCCAAGAACGTCCTCGTCGACGAGCAGGGCGCCGTGACCGGCTTCGTCGACTGGGACGGCGCCCACACCATGCCGCGCTACCTGGGCTACTCCAGCTTCCCCGGCTGGATCACCACCGACCTCAACCCGCTGCACTTCATCTGGGCCGAGGACTTCGAGGAATCCCCCGAGCTGCTGAAGCAGTACCGGCTGTTGTACAACCGCAAGATGCAGGGCCTGCTGCGGGGCTCCGGCGACGCCAAGTTCGTCCACAAGTCCCATATCTACGAGGCAATGCACCTGGCCGTCTGCACCCTACGCCCTCGCCTGGAGATCGTCACCACCCTCGTCGCCAAGGCGTTCCCCACCAATACGGAGGTGGCCATGAATCTCATCATGCTGGCGGGCGAGGGAAGACTGTCGACGCATGATAAGGATCAGTTGAGCAGAGGCTTTCAGCTGTTGTTCGCGGTCTCTTACTGACTTGCTGATATGGTATGCAGGGAATGGAAATATGTTCTATGAAGGTGGCAGCATGTATCCAGCAGGACTTCTGGGTTGGAAGTATCTGACTTCATGTGAAATAGCATGGCTCTCATTAAATCAATGTAATGCAATGTGACACCAACGTGTAGTTTTTGCTTTCTACTAACCGGGGGGGTGATATCCCTGTCACTTTTTACGTCGGGAGGCAATTCCCTGTCACGGGTTCGGAATGTAACCCCCTCCTCCCTCAAGTTTCCCCATCGGATATGATGTCAACTTGCAACATTAAACAAACTTCCATCCACTAAATTTTCCAGCATCATCATGCTCATATAGCAATGCTTGCACTAACTATCTTCCTCGCACTGCTGCCTCTTCTGGCTATATACCTGTGGCAATGGCTTCGATATCTGCGATTCCACCAGCATGCCTCCTGGCCGCAGCTTCCACCCTCCCTGGTCTGGGGACACATGAAAGCACTGAACGAGTTCGTCAGACGCGGCGAACGTCGCAGACATGTCGGTATGTCATCTTTTTGACACCTAGTATAACTATCGTACTCGATCTAACAAATGCAGACCATGTATTCGGGGAGGTGCAGCAATACCTGGGCAATCCGCCGCTGTATCTTCTCGACCTCCGTCCGGTCGTCGGCGTCCTGGGGATTGTCTGCAACCATGAGGTCGCTGAGCAGATCTCCCGAAGCACCAAGGGCTTTCCCTATAGTATGCGCAAATCTCCAACCATGAAATCGCTGGAGCCGTTACTGGGGCCCCATTCCGTGATTACCGCGGAGGTTTGTGCGCACCCTTCTCCATGGTAGTTTGTGTGTGTGTGTGTGTGTGTGTGTGTGTGAATCGACCACTGATACAATGTATCCCATGCCTCAGGGCGAGCAGTGGAAAGCGTTGCGCAAGCGATACAATCCGGGCTTTGCGCCGCAGCATCTCCTCACGCTGCTGCCTTGCATCATTGACAAAGCACGAATCTTCATCCAGTGTCTGGATGAGTACGCGCGGACCGGGGAGGAGTTTTCCCTTGAGGACCGCTGCACCAGTTTGACGCTTGATATCATCGGTATTTTTGTCTATTGTGGCATCTCTCCTCTACACAAACGTGAGATGTCTAATTGCCTCGCTTCTAGGAGCCGCAACAATGGACACCGACCTGGACGCCCAGCTCCCCGCCCACCAACAGAGCCCACTTGCCCGCCTCTACCGGCAGCTACTAGCCAGCTACCGCCGCGACAGCAACGTCAGCAAATTTCGCCTCACCTGGCTCCTCACCCCGTTCATCCTCCTCCGCCGCAAGTATCTCGTCCGACGGATCGACGCCCTCCTGCAAGCCCACATCGAGACGAAGTTCACCGAGCTTCGGACGACTACGACCGACAAAAAATCCTCCTCCTCTTCATCCCGAAGTATCCTCGCCCTCAGCCTCCACGACACCGACCACCTCACCCCACAGATCATCCGCGAAACCGCCGACCAGCTCAAATCCTTCCTGTTTGCCGGCCACGACACCACCAGCATCCTCCTGCAGTGGACCTTCTACGAACTCAGCCGCACCCCGCGTGTGCTGAAAGCGGTCCGTCGCGAGCTCGACGCGCTCTTCGGGGAGGAGACCTCTTCCGCCCCCGCCAGGGTGGCGGAGATGCTGCTCGCCGGGGGGGACGAGTATCTGTCGCAGATGACGTATACCGCTGCGGTCATCAAGGAGGTCCTCCGGTTACATCCCCCCTCCGGCTCGGCGCGGTATATGCCCCCTGGGACGGGGTTCACGGTGACCCTCCCCGATGGGCGGACGATGTGTCTCGATGGGGTGGTGATGTACAACTGTGCGACGCTGGTGCAGCGCGACGAGGCGGTTTATGGGCCGACGAGGGAGGAGTTCTGGCCGGAGCGGTGGTTGGAGGGGAGCGCGGACGGTTATGATGGTATCAAAAGTGGTGATGGCGCTTTTCTGGATGATAGTGGGAAGAAGGTTGGGGGTGGTGGTGGTGGTGGTGAGCAGATTCCCGTCAGTGCGTGGCGGCCATTTGAGCGTGGGCCCCGCAACTGCATCGGACAGGGGTTGGTCAATATCGAGGTCCGAGTCATTCTGGCCTGCACTGTGCGGCGATTCGAGTTCGAGAAAGTCGGGCTGGGGGCGCTTGCGAGGGATGCTGGGGGTCGGCCGGTGCTTGATGCAAAGGGGCAGTTTGAAGTTCTGGAGGAATTGTTTAATGTGAGTTGTTCCTGCTTCTTGCTTTTGCTGGTTGGTGGCGATGGGGGTGTGTATGGGATATGTTGGTTAACGCGATGCTCTCTAGACGATGCAGGTTACTGCTAAACCGGTGGATGGGACGAGGATGAAGGTCAGGTTTGCATCTGGGGAGTAAGGATGATGTTGTTGGGAAGTAGTTCTCCGATGGAAATATAGCACGAGGGATGATTTACACCCAGTTCGATATATTTGAAGACTGAATGTAGAACTCATGCCGTAATGGACGGGGGCAACGTGACAGTCCCGCTTGCACGGCACTGAAAGCTGGTCGGCAACACCCCTGGTCTGATCCCTGGCCATATAGCAGATAGCGGACAGCAAGAGGTGATCATCCAGCCGATATTATCATGACCCTGTGCATCGCAGAATTAAACCACAATCTCAGATTGGCCAAGGAGGCTGAACTCAATCAGAGAGGGACACTCAACCAAATAATGCACCACAGCTAGAGTGAAGGCTGTCCCCGAGGACCCAGCCTAGTCTAGAGTGCAATCACAGTTCCCAGGTTTCTAGATCTATGGACTAGAGCTTCATGGCTTCAAGAATCCCATCGCCACCCTCATCGACCAGATCCCGAAACTCCACCACCCATGAGACCAGCACTCTCCAGAAGCGTATGCCACTGCAGTCGAGTCCGTTCCGTCCCTGGACTAAAAGCCATGATGGCCAAATCGAACTGCGCCGGGGACTGCAACGCTACTTCCTCGAGAACGATAACCTCCATGCAGAAGCAGCCTCGAGTACCCCGGCGTCATATCCGCCGCCACCTTCTCCAGGATCCACACAGAGGTGGTGAATCTCTCAGCAGATTGCTGTCAGATTAGCACAGCACCCGGTCGAAAATAGGGGCGGTGCTCATGAGCAACCCCATTGCAGGCGCTATCCTGAGCGGACGAGGCGGTTGGGTTGGACTCGTTGCCTGGTGCGGTGCATTGCTTGCCATTTCGTCGGTGGCCATGGCTGTGTGTCCCTGAGCCGGCTTGGGACTCGATCGCTCCTTGTGAGAGCCAGACTACAGAGCCCCCCAATACCTCAAGAGACATGCTAATTATCCAGTGAGGACTTGGATTGAACATGGTTCCAATTTCAATATTCTCCAAGCAGGTGGAATATCGGGCCAAATGCAAAGTGGGTCTGCACGGTAAGTAACCCGACAGCTTCACATCGAATACAGCATTCTCAATCCTAACGACCTCGCACTATAATTAGGACATCTAAGACCTTGAAGCAATTACATCACTGTACTGCTGGCCTGCGTGGCCCATCCGCTTACCGACAGGTCGATTTTGCTGCCTTGCCGATAGATTTTCCCCCAATTTCTCCCAGCCACCTTTATTTTATACTACGCCTGCCGAAATCCTTTATCGCTGATAAGGATCGCGGTTGTACGGAGGTATGCACGCCTGTCACTCCCAGTCATTGATTGATCTTTTCCTCTAAGGCATTGTGGCTGACATCCCCAGTCACTCTGGTCGCAATCTTAACTCCCATGTTGTTCGCACCCCTCCTGGCCTACGTCGTATGGCCATCCTTTGCCGAATTCGTCACCGCAAATGTATCGACGTCCGACATCACGCAATCCGATCAGATCATACAGCGCAATGCTCTCATTGAGTCATACCTTGGCCATCGGCCCATACGGGGGGTCAGGAAGATGAGCGACGATGAGGGCGAAAAGTTCTTCATGGATTATTGGCAATTTGATGACGACGACGACGAGAACTATTATACGATCGGCAACTCGTCCAACACCGCCGATGAGTTGACGTCGCCAGCAAGACGTTCTGAGAATCTACAAACGACGGAGGAAATCGACTTTCAACCACAGACATACCCCTTCAACCCCTCGTACTGGAGTGGTTTGGAAGGCGAGGGGCGCGGTTGGAGGGCGGATTTCTCACCGCTTCTTCGGCGGGACTTCCGTTGTCCGAGCGGCACCTCCAACTGCACATCGATCGACCGGCCCGACAGCTGCTGCAGTACGGATGATACGTGCGTCCTGGTCAAGGACACCGGGTCCGGGGACGTGGGCTGTTGTCCGAAGGGCAAGACCTGCTCGGGCACCATCGGCTCATGTTCCGAGGGGTACTCCAGCTGCCCGTCATCCATGGGCGGCGGATGCTGCATTCCAGGCTATGAGTGCGTTACTGGTGGCTGTAAGTGGACTCTGATGATAAGCTTCCCCCCGCTGCAGGACTTATGCTGATCTCGGGCGTAGGTATACGGGTATTTACCGTCACGGTGACCGTGAGCTCGACCGTTATGCTGTCTACCTCCACACAGACAGTTGCCGCGACTACCAACACGCTATCCACGGGGGATCTGATTCCTCCCGCACGGCCTACGAGTGTGTCCACGGCCACGAGCTCCAGCACCAGCAAGACTACCAGCACCGCCACTGTGTCAGTCTGTCCGACGGGTTTTTATGCCTGTTCGGCATATTACCAGGGTGGGTGCTGCCGGACGGGTCGCGATTGCGACACCACATCTTGTCCGGCGACGCCCTCGACGACTATCGCTAGTGATGGAGTCACTATTGTGGTCCCGGTGATCACTGCGACGGGAACCGCCACAACGGCAACCAGCAGCAGCAGCAGCAGCAGTATGGGCCGATGCGCGAGTGGGTGGTTCAGTTGCGCCGATACAGTTGGGGGTGGTTGCTGCCCGACGGGATACCGGTGCGGCTCCAGCTGTACGGCAGTCTCGACGGCCACGGAGACTGTCTCGAAGGAGCAACCGACGAGTGGAAGTCAAAAGAGAGGGGTGTCAAGAGGGATGGCAGGAGTGAGCATCGTAGTTGCAGTAACTCTGACAGTTCTAAGCATGAGCTGATAGCCTTTTAAGTTAGTTATAACGAAAGATATGAGATCACGGACGGTTAAATGAAAGCCCAAGCCAACAGGCAATGCGGAAAAAGGTAAAAGTAATCGATGGCTCACGGATAAGCGATTCAGCTTTGACAGGCAAAAAAGCCCCGTGGGGCTTTGGAGCACGTGGGGCGTGTTGCTTTACCGGATCGGGAGCAATCCCGGTGAAGAGAGAGTCAAGACTCAAGAGACCCTCCGACCCTCTCCGATGCCGCCGCCGCCTTCAGGTTGACTCCTCCTCCTCCTCCTTCTCCTCCTTCTCCTCTTTCAACTTGGCCCGCTCCACTCCAACCCCATTTGCTTCTTTTCGCTTTTTCTTCCTCTTGCATTTCCATTTCGTTCTTAAGTTTTGTCATTGCATTTTTCTCTTCCTCCCTTCAATTGTGTTTTTTTTTTTACCAATCAGTCATCAAAATGGCCAGCCAAAACCAACAGAAGCCCCTGCCCTTCCAGTACCAGTTCATTGCTGGTGCCGTGGCTGGTGTGTCCGAGGTACGCATCGCGTGATCCCCATCAATTGACTCTGAACAACGTGGAAGCTAATATTGATGGGGTAGATTCTGGTCATGTACGATGCAATCGTAATCTCTCCAATGTTTGCAATGACTAACAAGCATTAACCCCAGGTACCCACTTGACGTGGTCAAGACCCGAGTGTAAGCTTCCCAAGCACCAAGCACCTTTTCCGACTCCCTGCCATCCACCCCACAAACAAACACCCTTGGACTAACACACCATTACCGCTCTGATAGTCAACTTCAGACCGGTGCCGCCACCGCGGGACAAGACCACTACAATGGCATGTTCGACTGCCTGCGCAAGATCGTGAAGAACGAAGGGTAAACAACCTCCTCCTTCCTCCTCCGTCCGAAACCCCAACACCACACCACACCACACCACACCACACCACAAACCCGAGGCCCACAAACTAACACCTCCCCCTTCAATCGCACCAGCTTCTCCCGCCTGTACCGCGGAATCTCCGCCCCGATCCTGATGGAAGCGCCCAAGCGCGCAACCAAATTCGCCGCCAACGACAGCTGGGGCAGCTTCTACCGGAACCTGTTCGGCGCGGCGGAGCAGACGCAGTCTCTCGCCATCCTGACGGGCGCCACTGCAGGTGCGACGGAGTCGTTCGTGGTCGTGCCCTTCGAGCTGGTCAAGATCCGGCTGCAGGACCGCGCGTCGGCCGGCAAGTACAACGGGATGCTGGACGTGGTGCGCAAGATCGTCGCGGCCGAGGGCCCCCTGGCCCTGTACAACGGCCTCGAGTCCACCCTGTGGCGCCACATCCTCTGGAACTCCGGCTACTTCGGCTGCATCTTCCAGGTGCGCGCGCAGCTCCCCGCCGCCGAGCCCGGCAACAAGGCCCAGCAGACCCGCAACGACCTCATCGCCGGTACCGTCGGCGGTACCGCGGGTACCATCCTCAATACCCCCATGGACGTCGTCAAGAGCCGCATCCAGAACACCGACAAGATCCCCGGCCAGGTCCCCAAGTACAACTGGGCCTGGCCCGCCGTCGGCACCGTCATGAAGGAGGAAGGCTTCGGCGCCCTGTACAAGGGCTTCATCCCCAAGGTCCTGCGGCTGGGCCCCGGCGGTGGTATCCTGTTGGTCGTGTTCACCGGCGTGATGGATTTCTTCCGCAAGATGCGCGATGAGTAGATTCCTTTCTGGCTTTCGGTTGTTTTTACTTTTTTTTTTATGATCATCATGATAGAAGAGGGCGGAAGAGAGAGAGAGAGAGAGAAGGGGGGGGGGGGAGAAGCAAAAGAGCAAGGATAGAAAAGAGATATCCGACTTGTCTTATCTTGTCGCAATAGATTCATCCTCTATTGTCGTCGTTGTCGTCGTTGTCGTCGTTGTCGTCGTTATCGTTGTTATGAATAACCTTTCTTGTATTTGCATGCAGAAGACGATCATCCATTTGATGTGATACCAAATCAGGAAGCCAGCCATTTGTAAAGATGCTATTCAACAGGACACCGTATCCTACATGACTCCCTTTCCATGACCTACCCCTAGAAAATAAATGAAATACTCATAGATGGTCACCCAAAGATCAACTCGGTGGGTAGACAGACCATTTACCCGCTACACCACGGATACAAACGGTACATACCTCCCTCCCATCGACGCTACGACCTTTTAGGACGCGGCGGCGGCGGCGTCAATTGCTGGCAGTAAGGCTGGGGGTGGAGGAACCGCACGCACGTGCAAGGATGTACCCCCCCTCTCCATCCCCCCTCTCGTCCATTCACAGCACCCAGGGTCCTACAGTAGTTCGTCCACATTGGACAGGATCCTAGTTCGGATCCATCACCCACCTTAGTACAGTACTGCACCTAGTACCTACCAGGTGGGCTGAGGGCCGCCACTCCCCTTCTAGTATGTGCATACCCTGTGCATCTGCCCTATGATGACAATGTACTCTACCTACCATCCACCTCGAGGGGTCGAGGCCGACCGTCGATCATTACAAGCTTACTGGCTTACCGGCTAGGTATCAATCGAGTCAAGTATTGAATGCAAATATCGTTATATAAATGACTTATATTATGAAGGTCGAAACAATCAGCCGTTAATGACGCCCGAGAATGGGTTTCCATGCGTTAACACACAACAATAAAGCAAGATTGTCAAGGCATATCAAGCGTATAATTAAAAAGGGAAAAGGGTATCGATGTAAAAACGGGCAAGGAGAGAAAGAGAGCCAAAGGAACAACATATATGTCAAGGTAAAAATCAAAATCCGATGACAGTCGCCATTAAGGAGAGCAAAGTCCAAAGCCATAACAAACAAACTCGCAGAAACGACATCAATCAAACGTCACCCAAGAATGCGAACTGAAGACAGAAGAGAACAAGGAATCAAAGCACACCCTTGAGAACCAATGACAATAAAGGTCATTTCAGCCATTAGCCTCGACGAAATCTGTCAAAACTTCCGCGTACGCCGGTCACCCATTTGACGCCTTTGTGTACAACAAGGTCATGACATGCAGTTGTTCAAGATATGAAAGGCAGAGCTCATCCGGAGCGTGAACAAGATTTAGTTCATCTCCATTGCGTATTCGTCTTCTTCCTTGAAGCTCATGCCAGCATGGCCCGAGCTATTCCAATACTGGGCTTGTCCAGAGCCCCCGCCATTGCTGCTGCCGCCACTGTTGAAAGGTGGGCTCAGACTCTGTGGGCTCAATGTTCCGTTGCCGCTGACAGAATCCCCAGCAATGTTGGTGTGCTTGGGCACCCGGAGACCGCTGCCTGGCGCTCTGCTGTAGGCAAAGGAGCTAGGATCATTCTTCTCTAGCGCATCGAGAATCTCGGTGCGCATACGCTTTTCCTCCTCGGTCTGCTCAAACGGCCAAGTGCCACCCAGCCTGCTGATCAATTCTGCCAGCTCTGACTCCTGTTGGAGCTTGACGTGCAGGGCCCACATCAAGTCCCGCATCCAACCGACTGCTCCGTTGAGGATATCTCCCTTGTTGGGCCCTTTCTCTTTTTCCTCGATTGGGAGACCCATGGTGATGTTACCAGCAGTGGCGCGGCGCCCATTGCCTCCAGCGAGCAGGGATGTTGCAGCATTCGCGGTAGCTCCGGTACCAGACATGGCAGTATTGTTGACAAGCTGCTTACGAACCTTGTCATCCTCCAAGCGGTGCTGGGGTACCAAATGGGAAAGATCCTGAATGCGTTCATTGATGTTGTCTCGCCGCCGGCGTTCGACGAGATTATGAGAGGCTCTGCGACGGCGCCGCTTCGCCTCTTGCGATTCTAAGTCCTGTGCGGACCCTGGCATATGCGTATCAACCTTGGCCGGCAAGGAAGCATGCTTGCCCGATTTGAGGATTTCCGAAATCCCCGCATGATGAGATGGATGGCCAGGAGATGAGATGGGTGACTCCACATACGAATGCGCACTCCCGGGCGTACCATCCCACTGGTTGGATAGCGTCTTCTGGTGCCGATGCTGAAGGCCAGTCCGAATGGGCTGAGTAGGGAAGCTCCCGGACTCCGGCGTCCCAAGGGTCAAAGCGCCGAGCGCTGGGGTCTTGGGGGTCATCGGGCTGCGTCCGTCGTACGAGGCCCGGTCGAGCGCTTGTATGCTTGGCCGAGCCTTGGCATTCAGATAGCTCTGGTCAAAATGGGATCCGTTGCCCTGGAGGTGAGGCGCTTGTCCTGGCTGGCCCATGCTCCGGAAGTGGTCATAATTGAAACTATGCATGAAGGGGCTGTGCATGGGAGCTCCATCTGGCGTGTTGGAGTACATCTGTGACATTTGGCCCGGGTGACTCATCGAGATCCCAGCGCTTGACTGTTGGTCCTGGAGATAGTTCTGCTGGACTCCATTGTGGCCGTTAATCTCCAGATCCAGGAGCTCATCGGTATCGATCCCAGAGTTACCGAAATTGAAACTGGAGGAAAGGTTCTGTTGCGAGGAGAACGGGTATGACATGAAGCCGTTCTGCATGCTCAACTCCGAGGGGTCAACCCCTTCATTAGGGTTCCCGAATTGGTTTGACATCGAATAGCCGGACTGCGACATTATATAATGGTGTGGGTCACTGCTGTGCTCGTCAGGCTCAGTCTTGATGAAATTGCTAGTTTCCGTCATCTCCCCGCGCATGCGCCCCAGCCTTCCAATCCAAGTCAATAGTGTTATCGGAGGGTGATCTTACGGTTCAAAGGCGAACCTGGTAGAGATGATAACTTGATGCTCGCCAAACACAAATTGTCAAAAGATAAACTTGATCTCCGGTGGTGGAATAAAATCGTCCTATCGGCAGGGCGAATGATTCAGACGGTGTTGGATAGTCAACGGACGGTGACGTCGATTCATCAAAGGGATTCGACCGAGCAAAATTAGCCGGAGAAGATCTAATGATCTAATAAGACTCCAAGGTTCCGTCAGCCTGGTTCTTAAACAAGGAGAGATGCGTGTGGCAATGAACCGCCCTATGAGTCGAGTCGGAGAACGCCAACGGGGGTGGCTCAGACCTCGACTACAAGTATGGGGGACACTTACCAAGCAAACGAGAAATTCAGTCTAGTAACGAAAGCCAAGCCTGGCGATGCCTCCTAGATGGATGGAGAATGCGATTGGTTTATGGCGTCCGAACGGAACGGGGGTAACGCGAGGGGTTGTCGCGATGAACTGTAAGCGGGCGCGGTGGACAGAGTGCCGGGCGAAAGCAGGATTTGGGGGAGGTGGACAGGACGGAAAAATGCCACTATCGTGGACGGAGGCCAGAAAAGTCCGAGGTATTTGTGCTGTCACTCGTCGAGCGCGCCGAAAGAAGAATGTCTAATAAGGTTGGCCTGGGGTAAGTGACTGGGGAAGAAAGTCAAGAGAGGAGCTGAAATAAGCCAGAAAAAGAAAAGAGGACAGGACGGCGGCGATCAAAGGAAAAGGCTCCGTCGTTGAGTGGCCATAAGCGAGGCAAAGAAAAAAAAAATAAATAAAATAAAGGAGACGGAGAGAAAGGCGGGCAAGAGACAAGAATAGATGGACGGGGCCGCGGAGGCGACGGACTGAACCAAAATGGGGGGGGGAAGGGAGGAAGAAGGTCCAAGGCCAGGCAATAAAGTGATAAGAGTGAGGTGGGAAATAGAGGTGTCAGATCAGACCGGAAGTAGCCTTGTAATCTCTGTGGGAAAGGTTGAGAGTAGAATCGCCACCAAAGAAGAGAAGTGAGATATTGTGTTGCTTCAATTAATCGGGATTGATTGATGAGAGCGAAAGGGAAAGGAGGAAGGAGGAAGGAAGGAGGGGAAAGAATTGGGAATTTGAGGCGGTACTTGGTCCGGGGTAAGGCCAAGGGAAGAGCGTAGTCCGAAAGTGGGCTGTGGAGGGGAGAGAGAGAGCCTGGAGACCGAGAGAGACTCTTGTAAAATTGTAAGAGTTGGTTCCATCCAAGTTGTGTTAGTTGTTGCCAGCCAGGTAAAACTGGCTGGATTGAGACACAATCAATAGGCGCAAAGAGCGCCAGAGGCGGTGGACCACGCCCCACTTCATTAGGAGGGCGGTAAATCTCGGCAGTATGTCACCTGCCTCGCGCTCTCTCTCTCTCTCTCTCTCTCTCTCTCTCTCTCTTTCTCTGTCGTCTCTTGTCATCCCCAGATTCTCGGATAACTCCGTTGTGGATCATCTGGATGGTCCATTCCCACCTCCATGAATCTGGCCATGGTTACCATGCAGCTGATGGCACTGATACCAAATTCCAAAGCATTTTGAAAGCATTCTCTTTGCCGTCACTTCTTTCCCCCTCCTTAGCCCCTCAGCTCTGTCCTCATTACCCCTCGATATGTAATCCCCGCGCTTCACGCGAGACGGACAGATCTTCCCGTTTCGGGGTCCGTGAGACAAAACTAGGACGGCTCGGTGATCCTACACAGTAAGAGCGCCCCACGGACACTGTCGGACCACGTTGGATCGTCGCATAGGCGCCTTATTGTTCTCCCAATAATCCATCCGGGTTTGATGGACATTGGGCTTCCGCCTAGAGAATCTGCAGGGGCTGAGAGGCCATCACACCTGCATGCTTCTCTTCCTTCGGTCTTTCCCCGGGCTCCAAGCCGGTGACGTAACTGATGGGTGATGCTCTCCGGCCGAGGGGCCTCTTTTGCCGATGTAGGTCTTGGCTCGAGTGGCCGCTCTCTTCCGCAGTCATAATGGTCCTGGGGTGTGCATGTGTGTGTGTGTGTGTGTGTGCGCGCTTGGGCCATGATAGAAAATAAAGAGAGAGATGATATTCGCCAAAGGAAACATAGGAAACAGAAATCAGGACAGAAGAAAAAATGTGTCATGCTTACCAGATATTGATGAAAAGGTAATAGATAGGCGAGATATAGCTAGGTAATTTGCTCGTAGACGTCCTGGGCGATGATAAGTACTGGCATTAAAGATGTATCCGAGGACACAGGTTTGATGGCGGCGTCAAGAAGTCAAAAGGATGGAAAGGCAATCAGACAGAGGGAAACAGATGCGCACACGTGGAGAGTAGGATTGAGCCGCATATGCTCCACCAACAAGGCCAGGCAGAAGGGGGAAAGCAAAAGGCTTGGAAGACAACACAGTGTTGAACAGCCAGCCTTATCACATCGGCGGAAGGGGAGTTTATATGCACGAGTATTGGGGCTTTGAGGGTTGGGGGGGAAAGCAAGATACCTAAGGCTGCGAACACTTACATAGACCCTGCTTAATGCCGACAGTCGACACAGTGAGGGGTTCGTGCTCAGCAACAGAGCAAAGATTGGGACCAGTGGGAAAAGAAAGATGGCTATAAAATCAGGGTCGTATCAGCTCCGCAACAGCTGGGCAATGCAGCGACTCGAGAAGGGAAATCCTAGCGTTATCGGCCAGGAACACAATAAGACAATGGCGAAGGGAGAAAAAGTAAGTTGGGAGAAGGGTATACTTTATAGGTACAGTACAAGAACTGGAATTCCCAAGACCTAGGGCTGGCAGTGCAGAGGACAAGACGAATATAAAGGAGATTCACGACAATATTCACATCCTCTCATTTGCTATATCATGGTTCAGGTCATGCAGGGCGTCGATCCTCAACTCAGCGAGGCTTAACACACCACCCATAGGAATTACTTGCGTAAACCGGTTCTTCAGCCAGATAGAATGTCGCTAAAATGATTCGGGGAAAGTGAAGGGAGAATCAAAAATCAAAATATGAAGGGTATTAATTCCTCTCCGGTGACAAGAGTAAGTAGGTAAAAGAAAAAAACACAAACATAATAATAAAATGAAATAAAATCAAATAAAATAGCACTGCATAAACTAAAACGCAGGCCAAAGGATGGAGGGGGGGAAAGGCCAGGGAGAGGGCGAGAGCCAATCACGATGCAGCAGCCGGTAGGCAAGACGAAGGATACGCTACCCAAATCGCAAGATGCAGGACATTTAAGCCCGTCAATCAGACCAATGCGAGAGGTAAGAAGGGGGATGATGGTCGTGGTTGGAGAATCCGACTGGAAAAGGGAGGGAGGGGAGGAAGCCTGGAGGGGGTGCAGTATAGAAAAGACAGTCAATTGTCAAGGAGGGTAGCACCGTCCGCATAGAGGAGAATAACGTCCATCCCCGAATCCCATGAGCATCTCCCGAGTACTACTATATTTGTCACCTGTTCCGCCTCTGCCAGGGAAGTTCAATGACTCACCCGCGTCAGCCTCTGCTTGACGATTACTCAGTTACTAAGTCTGCCATCCTCTTCCTTCTTATTGGGGAGTTGGCAGGTTATTCTCATTCACTCGTATCTGCCCGTTATTCGCCTAAAAGCGGAAAAGAGGTGATGATGAAGATGAAGGTGCGCAATGGGGACAGGGCACAATTGCTTATCAATATCCGTCGGGACAACTCCCGACGCTTAGGGAAGGAAAAGTCGTCTTCGATACGAGGGCAAAGTCCACTAAGAATGTATCAGATGCCAGAACCACCACCCATCATCTTCCCCCTCCCCCTCCCCCTCCCCCTCCTTCTGCTCTAAGCATACCGGATCATGTACACATATAGACGGAAAGACTAAATGACCAAGGAGCGTGAGTACTCATGAATACGCTATTTCACTTGGAGATCAAGACCTATGACATCATGATTCAACTGAGCAAGAAATGGTTCATCGTCCTTGAGTAGCAATCCCCTTGGAATTAATAGAGAAACGAGCTTGGGGACAGACGGTGGCATATCGCGGGTATCGAGGAATGGATGAATGATCTGAAGCTTCCATGTGGAAGAAAGGATCCGTGGCTTAATCCAGCAATTCTTCTCTAGCTTTGTTAGCTGCCTGTAACCGGCGAACACTTTATCATTTCGGAGGATCGCTGGACACTAGCGGGATCGACGAGCTGGAGAAACCATGCCGCATTATCATGATTAGTATTGATCGCATCTTACCTCCATTGCAGGCTGCATTAGACCCGAATAGGGAACATGATTGTCTCGGTACCAGAGCCTCATCCTTCTACAGTGATAGTTGATTGTAGCCCTACTGCTTGCCAACACACGGTCATAGGCTACCTGAGCCACGGACCACTCTGTAGAAGGAGTTGGAGTCGAGTGGATTGCGATGACTTGCTTCCTTGGAAACCCATTGCCTTCTCCCATCGCCTGTCCGAGCACGTCGGGGGCTGACACAGAGAGGCGGTCCGTGACACTGTGCAGCCAGCAGCCTGTAGCTTCCCGAGAAGGCGTGCATCTGCCTATGCCATCTGATAGGGTGTGGTAGGATCCTTAGTTCTGCAACTCCCTGCTCGCTTGGGCATTTGACATTCTAATGAAGTCTAACGCATGGACTTTTATACTAATTTGGCGCCGTTGATGGACGGAATTAGTTTTCCCCTTCCCCCCTTCCCCACCCTCTCTCATCGTTCTTTATGCAACAACCACCACCACCACCACCCCGGGTATTCATATGTACCCCCCCAAAACCCTCTCAATCATCCGACTTCGCTTTTCCAACGGAATTCAAGACATAGATGGCTCATTTTTGCTGCGATCCTTGCCCTTTAGGATGCTGTTACAATTTGGAATACGGGTGACTCCCTCAGGAATGTGGAGGAGCCCTCAACTATCTATCTTGTGTATACTATCCGGGCATCCATAGC